AACTGCAGATTGGCCTAAACTGCTCTGCGGCCATTCCAGCTTACTAATTAAATATGCTCTCACAGCCATAATAAAAATTCTGGGAAACCTCTGGCTGGAGAGCAAACTTCTCAGGAGGGGAGCAAAAGTCAGCAAAAAACTTCATTCAGAAAGAAAACACTAACAAATTTTTTTTAACGTACTCCAGATTTTTCTAACTCGGTGACACCAACTGTGCCTTTTACAATTATTATCTTTTTTGTCTGTTTATTCCTTTCAGATGATGTCTATTTGCTGGAAAGTTTGCATACCAACCAAATACAACCAACAAACAACCTGTCCATTCAAAATATGGTCAGGTTTATATGACACCTAATTTTTTTAAACCAACAAAGGTAGGATTAGTGTTACATAGACCAGCACTTAACATCATACCACATCTAATTTACTTGCTGAAAGAGTAAAACATGAAAGCATGTTGTCCTCTGCTGACATATATAATATCTACTATATTTCAGTATTTAAGGGGGGAAAAAAAGCCACAGCAAACAGGGGGAAAAAATAAGCATGCAAACATAATTTTAAGCAAAATAAGAATGATTTGATTAATCATCTCTGGCTCCCAACTTCTTCCCCTCTCTTGCTGCCTACACAGTTCATGTATGTTCACTATTTCTAAAGGACAGAGGAACACACTGAATACTCCTCAGAGAGGGGAAGAAGGAGAGAAGGGAGGGGGGGGAAAAAGTGCAGCACATGTTTTTCAGCACTACTCTGCTGAATCAACAGGGAGCAGATTCCCAGCTGGTGCACACTGTAAGCACTGCACAAGTCAATGGAGCCATGTCAAACGATACCACTCAACTGCATTATCTTCTGAGCTCCGTGTAAACAAACAGGAGCAGATTCCGAATATTTGTGAGAATACATCATGTTACTGTCTCCATATGTTTAAACATTTTAGTAGAAGGCACATATGGACCACTCTTCCCACTCACTGTCATTCTCTCCCTCCTGCTCCTCATACACTGTATCTTCTCGGGCCATTGTCAAACTAATTCAAAAATGAATAAGGATACATTTTCATTAAAAACATTTTGTGCTTAGCTGCCATCTGCTTCATCGGCCTCCAAATCCTCACATGCCTTTTCCATGGTCCTCAGTTTCACACATTCAGAAGCTCAAAGTTTTCTCCTGTTGTATTGTGCAGTGAGGTCTACATGAGCTATTGTTTCATGTCAAATTCATCTCTGAACCAACTGCTTAATGCTTACAGCCCTCATCCATGTCCTCTCTACAATGCCAGCTTACACATGCTTCTTTTAATACCTAAACTCTAATCTTAAAGCTCCCACACACATTTCAGATACTCCCTGTCACTGTTTTTATGGGAAGCATGGCTATTCCACCCCCTTTGGGAAATATGGGAGCTCTAATTCGCTCTCTCCCAGACAGTGCTCATCCTGGCCCACAGAAGCAGCAGCTGATGCCAACACCCCTTTGCTCACAGAGGTACCAGCCTGTCTCCCCCATAACCAGACCAATTGTCTTCTCTGAGTAGGCAAAGTTTCAGCAAGTATTTGACACTGAGCATCTCCAGCTTAACTAGGGGAAAGAAGACAAATAATTAAGATAGGGGGACAAACCCAACAAGGCACCATAGGTGTTATATACAGATCACTGCTAGTTTTGCTATTACTTTCCCAAATAGTTTGCCCAGTTCATTTCTTACAGCCCAAGCAATAGCAAAAGTGTCTTAGGAAGCATTAGCTGGACTTGCTTGAAAAAGAACACAAAGGTTACGGTAGACAAGGGATCCTGAACTTCCAGGCAGGCTTTCAAGGGTGTAATTTTCATTTGGTTTCTGCAGACTTGGAAAGGCCTAGTGACTAAGGCAGCAGACCTCAAAAGTTAATCATCAGCAAGAGGAATACAGAAAACAACCAAAGTTTTCTTTACAGCAGACCACTGGACTGGCAGAGCTAGTGTGTCATCAGACACAAGTCTTGCAAGGGGTACAGCAGGAATGGTTTTTCTGGTTCTCACATCAGTTGCTGAGTGAGATGCAGGCAGCTTCCATAAACCTTTCCAGCAGTCACAACTGCCAGAAAAAAAAAGAAAAACATAAAAGGCCATAGTCTCATTTGTATGTCTGGACACTCAGTTTTTATCTTTTCCATCTCTACCTGTGCCCCAAAGCACTGATGCAAACAAACAACTTCAGTGCTCTCCTTTTATCTTCAGGGATTCTTCTATGTGGCCTTGCAACTCCAGTGAGGCACAGCTGGCATTTAATACACCAACATAAAAGTAGGTGCAAGTCAGAGAGGAGAGAGCCTGCCAAGCCCAACACAACATGCTGCAGCTCCAAAGAGAGCAAACTAGTACTGCTGCTGCCTTGGGGCACTCGAAGGTAAAGGAATGTACACTACACAGAAACCAGGGCAACCAAACTGGCAGGAGAGCTGCTGACGCTTTACACTGAACCTTAAAAATACCCAGAAAAATTTAGAAGTTACAGTTTCTTTGTAGCTTGCTCTTTTATAGTGGTGTCCATGGATTATTCTAAGTCAGACACAGCATATCCTTCCCTCCCTCCTCCCTCAGCATTGTTCCTGCACAAGTTATATTGAAGGAAGCACAAGCTTCTTCCTTTGTTTGTGGGCAAGAAAAAGAAGGAAAAAAACAACTTCCACTCAATGGCAAAACTAAACAGAAGCCAGGCTACTTAAAGTACCAAGTGTTCCCACAAAACATTTACCCACCAGCTTCAGATCTTTCAGTGTAAAACCTAAACAAGGACAAGAGAGATTTAATACGCACTCCTCCACAGAGCTAGAGCAAAGAAAAATAAAAAGGCACAAAGGAACCCTGAATGATAGAGAGCATTTTCAGCTTGACATTACTGTGACGCACAAGGAGAATGTCAGGGTTAAATTAGATACTGCACTAGAAAAATATTCCCTGGAAAATAACATAGGTGTCGTATCTCGACAGGGTAGGAAAATGCCAACTGAACCACTCAGTAACTGAAAAGTCCTTCTTTCTGTGCTTTTTCATGTCTTGTGTGATTCTGTACTGCAAGAGTCCTCCTCTCCTGATCAGGAGTTCATTGCCAAAGTGCCCAAGCAATCTAGCAGGGGAGACAAAAAGCTTCCTTTGGAACAACTGCACTTTTATACCTCCCTTGTTTTTCTTCAGAGCAGGAGTACTTTGGGGTTGTTTTCTTTTTACATGAATGGCCTACAAATTTTAAGTCATCCTCCTTCAAGTCCGTGGCTTATCACAACAAACAGATTAGAAGAGGTCTAAATTTCTCACTCTGCTTATTGATTAGGACTTGATAATTTCTTTATATGCCGTACATCCTAAGATACTCTAAACCAAACTGTTTTTCTACAATCAAATGCTCTTAACGAGCCCTTCAAGGCTCTTTTCCAATACTTGCTTTGTTCTTCACAATCTCCCATGAAAGGAGACGAAAGCGTATATGGAAAAAAACCCCAGTACCTACACCCTTGCCTTCAAAGTCCTGCTATCACAGCCTAACTATGACCTCATTTTACTTAAACAAGTTTCTTCTCATGTGTGTTTGGGATCCAAATTATTTTAACAGTCACTCAGATGCCAAAAAAAGGTTTTTTTCATGTTACTTTTGTCTACTCCAAATAGACAAAGCACTCAACAGAAAGCAAGCATGTCATTATATCTCATTAAATACACTCTCGTTACATCCATTCAAACCACCGAGGGCAATGAGGCTGCACAGGAGTCACCTTGGTCACCCTCTGTAGACAACAGAGCTACACTCTGTTAATGAAGACATAAATTTGACCTGCAGGACTCATAGAAACACTCCCCTCACCCTGGGCAAAGCACAAAGTCTCCCAGTAACAGGCTGAGGGGGTTTCTTTGCTTTGTTTAAAATAACGAACTTTATTTCCTGTAAGTATTGATAAAAGCACATACTCCAAATGCCTTTTTGCAGAGGTATTTTTGGCATGTGTTGACTGAAACTGCCCCACGAGCTGCTTTAATTGCAGTTCTAATTGAACAGGAGGACTCCACAAGCAACTGACAAGCCACTTCAGAAAAACACAACATCCCCAGATGAAGGTAACCCAAATATAGTCCTGATTTCTCTCACACTGTGGTGTTTCCTATCATTATGGCAGCTTTGGTCAAGACTGCATGTGGAATTTAGGAACTGTTCCTCCCAGTGACGAGTTTGTAATTAAGCCCTACTGATACCGCAGGGCTCAGCTTTCGTAAAGTTACAGGATGAACTCAAAAAGCCTGCCATGTAATCATGTTACCTGAGTAAACTATGAGTTTGTTTACTCTATTTTTAAAAAGCGAGAAGAGATCAGGTTTTGTTTTTGCTAATACTTGCTATCAGAAAGACATAAACCTGCCAGATAAGAACAAAACAGGGAACAGTAACTTCACTGGGAGTCAAGATATTCATGGACTCTGACTCTACTGACTGTACTGTGAAAACTAATGTCAGTAAACAAGTCCTTAGGTACAGGATTTACCATTACAGGAATGTCTGGAGGTGCATGCCAAGAGAAGCAAAAAAACAAAGTCCAGTTAACAGCTTCAGCACGCACTGCAACAGCTTTGGCACACACAGAATGTCACTTTAGCAGGAGGAGATGGCACTCGCTGGCCACCTCCTGCCAAAGTCCTCAAGGCAGGTAAAGCTGCCTCCAGCTCTGCTACAATGGCATTGGTTCCATACTTACACTTTCCACCTTCTCCGTGAGGAAGTAACTCAGAGAGTTTGCTGGGGTTTGTTTTACAGTTGCTGATTTGTTGTTTTCTCTTTTTATTTTTAATTTGAGACAAACCTTTACTGAGAGGGGAAGAATCTATTTGTGTGGCAACTGGGTAACTCGTGCAAACTATACACAACTAGAATAAAAGCTTCAGTTGCTGAAGAGCTTAAAATAAAACCACAAAACTAAACGTTTACTTCAAAAGAGGTAACAAAAACAGGGTATCTCCTTAAATCTTACTTTTCTGGCAGTGGTTGGTGGTCCAGCAGCGGTAGTTGTACTCATTGTTAATAGATGTCTTCTCACACAATGGCTTCTCTTCCATTGTTCCCGGACACAAGTCCCCACATTCCTTTGGAGGTTTATTCCCAACGATGTAGTTATTGGACACTGCATCTAGGATGAGAGACCAGTCCACTGTGGAGAGGTAACACAGGTCAGAGTTCTTCTCGATCCGGATGGCCCCGCGGGTGATGTTCCTCAGGTTGTGAAGCCCGATCTCTTTAAGATTGGTCATTTCAAAGATGACCAAGGCATAGTTGTAGAAGAGGTTCCTGCCACGAATGACTGTGAGGTTGGGGAAGAGATCGCTGAGGCTTTCCAAGCCTGCCACACGGAACAGCAGCAAGTAGTCAGTGATGACAGTGAGCTTTGGGAAGCGGAAGTTGCGGTAATCCTCCGCTTTGGAGATGAGCAGGATCTGCAGGAAGCCCTCGATCACCGTGCAGTTCTCCAGGCGCTTCAGCTCGTGGATGTCATTGCGAATGTCGACGTTTGGCCCGCAAACTGAAAAGCAAAAGGAGGAAAAGAGTTAGTAAATAACGTTCCTAAAGCTTTTGAAACTGGAACGCGAGAAGGATATTCTGATGGCCGTAAGATTTCTAACTTTTAATTAGGTTGAAAATGAGTGCTTGATTTACACCTACATGGAATCTTCATTTCATTTAACCTATCACACCAAGCACTACCAGGGCAGCACAGGGATGGCAGCTCTCCCTACATTCTGCAGCACACAGAGAAATGTTGGTTTATTACTGCTGATGACAAGAGCTGCATTGCACTGAGGGATACAAAGATAAACCCAATGCATTTGCACATCCTGCTTCAAATTAGATCATGCATGTGTGTCCAGAGCAGGGTTTGAGCCACTTCAAACCAGTCAGGTAAAACAGAAAGTGATCCACTGGTCATCACGTTACTAATAAACTCCCCACCCCGCTTAAGACACATGCACACAAAGAGGGCATTTCCCAGAAAATTACAACTTCGGCCTCAAATCACTCTTTCTTTCCAGGGTCACACACCAAACAAGCCTTAATTCTTGGAATACTAGCCTTGCAGTAGGTCAGCAACAACACTAAATCCACAGAAAGCTGGTCAGCACTTCCTGCTCTGTGACTGGGACGAAAACAAAGTGCTTGGACTTACAGCACTGAATTCCTGTTTGCATGTTCCAGTAAACCAAGTTTCACTAATTCTGGCACCAAGACATAAAAAAGTCTCTTGAGTTCTAAGAAACACAGGATAAATTTATTTACAAGAACATGGAGCATCACAGTGAAGAATCTTTCCTTGAAAACAGCAGATTGAACTCTATGAACTCTCAAAAAAACAATGACCAAAAGGATTATTCCCTAATAAATCTATGTATTAAGTTTTTCCATATTAGAGACACATCACAATAACAACATTAAAGGGGCTGGAAGACATGTGTGTTAACAATGTAATATTTAGACACATACAATCCACTTGGATGTAAAACAAAGAACTACAGGGTGTAGAGAGCCGTTGTTCTTCAAAGCCCTCAGAGCTGGTCTTCTTTGGAAAAAAAGATTCCCCATTAAAGATACTAAGTTGCTTGTAAGCAAACAAAGCAAAATGGCTATTTATTTAAGCAACCCAAAACTCAAATAAACACCAAGCAATTCAATTTTGTGGAAAGGTTCTCTTTTAATGCATGCTAGGCTTAATTATTTTAAAAACATCTTTTCCACAGACAAGGGAAAGGTCTAAACAAGCACTGGAGCCAAAAAACTTAAATTCTAACCCAGACAAATTGTCCAGAGATTCAGAAATTGCGCTGACAATAGAAAGCAGTCCTTCCATCCCACAACACTTATCTAAGGCTAATAACTTAAGCTAACAAAGGATCCAGAGCATGAGCATGCTAAAACCACAGCAACTCTAATACCCAACAAGGACTTAAAGACTTCTAAGTCTTTTAAAGACTAAAGGACTTTCTGGTTAGAGGGACAGCACAAAAAAATAAAATAGGGCGAGATCTTTGTTTGGAAACAGATGTTTCTACACAAACTATTACCTAATCTTCCTTCTGTAAAGATTCAAGCTGAAAGCAAAGGCTATTAAATGTGACTTGCTGCACTCAAGTAGCTATGTGCAAGAAAGTTCATTCCTTAGACTTTCAAAAAAATTATAAACACCAAGACTAATGTACCACCAGGAACGCTTGGTCCCCGTGAGCACTGAGACAGGAAATCTCCATTTTTGTACATACTGATTTCAGAAAAATTGGGCTCTACTGCTGGAATATGTGTCAAGGCTTGAACTTCAGGAAAACATTAAAAAGCGTGAATGGGTTGGCACCACCCAGCTTTAGAAGCCAGAGAGAAGAGGGAGAACATGAAAGAACTCCAAGGTATAGAACTGCTAAGAGATTCACTGGTTAGTGCAGAAGAAGTGAGGGGTTCTCCCCTGAACCTCTAGGAAAAACATCCTCGAGCCTTTTTAAATCCCTTTAACGAGCTGGTACCCACATCTTGCTTTCAACTTCAGAAATCATCTTCTAAAGCCACGAGCCCTCCATCCACCCTAGGGACTGTGCCCTCTGCCCAAAGGGTATTTACACTCTGACAGTGGGCTTCTCTTGGTTTGAAAAGGCAAGTTAAAACACACACAGTGGCCCCCATTAAACCCTTCTGGCTTCCATCTCTGCCTGCTGGCAGGCCAAGGTGAACAGTACGGCTCCTGCTATGGCAAAGCAAAAGTAGCGGAATTTATTTTCCTGCCATAAAAGTTTAGAAAGCCTAACTGCTCCAAGCCCTTTATTTTGTTAAAGAAATAAAATTTGCACTTGTGCTGACATTTTGCAGGCAAGGTTCCAGAGTGATGGGTTTAAAAACAGCTGAGTTACAATACCCTAAAGAACAATTTGTAAGAGAAATGGCAGCAACCGTTAACTAAAGCATTATATATCTGTTCATGTCTCTGTTTGAGGCTGGCCTTTCAAAGTCATACTGCTTTTAGCTTTATGTTTGTTTCAGCTCAAAAGTTACTTAATTTTAGATATTTAATGCTTTTATAAATCAATGAAATTTCTGGAGCTTTATGGCAAAAGCATGCGCTCACTTGCCTCAGTTGTGAAACATCATCCCCTCAAGTATGGAAAAGGATGAAGTCCAGTGGGGTCCCACATTAGAAATTGATCACAGATGAGTGGCTGTTGACATTGCTGATTTAAGAACTTATTAGTTCATCTAGTGAGTTATGTTTTGCAGAACTTTACACATATAATGAGAACTGCAGAGACACAAATGTGAAATAGGACAAGCATCATGGGCCATCCTGACACTTGGAAAAAATCAGTTCCCATTAAACTAGATATTTTTGAAAAGAAATTTCTTTTAAGTTCACATTGTTCACCAGACTTAATGATACCACAATACATCATCTTTTTCTCACGTTTTTCTCTCTGCCTTGAAAAGGATTATATGAAAAACAAATTAATCAGAGCTCAAAGTCAACTCCAATTTCCATCTGGCTGTGCTGTGTTTTCTTTGGATGCCATTTGAGAGAAAGCGTATATGGACTCACAATGTAAACTGGTCTGTCAGACACAATGAAGTGCACAGAAAATGCTCTTTAGAGCATTTATACTCCATTTAACAGTTTTGGATATTCCAGTTTAGAGAACTTTTTTAATATGACTAGGATAACTTGCCTTTGTTTTACATTTAATTCAGAACTGGAAATTAACTATTATGTATTTATTTTGCTCGCTAACAGAACATAAAAATGCAACAGCTGTTTATGACCCAGCCCCACTTGTTCTGGGTAGATTATAAACACCCAGGATAATTACCAATAGTCAGATTCATGCTGTTTTCATTCAGCTGCCTACAGATTTCTAAGCCTTTCCTTAAACTGCCTATCATTTATCAGACTGGGCCTAAACCAAGTACCTAATTCAGAGTCAGAAATTCGTTCTTTAAAGACAAATCTATTTATTTGTTTAAAAGATAACTCCCCAATATAGTAAAATACCAAAGTAAAGCAATGCAGTCTGTACCCAGACAAATATAAATGCCTCCCTGGAAACAGCTCTTTAGTCCAGAACTCCTGAGCTCTGCCTGGTATCCAACTGGAAGCCCTGTTGTGCTCTTTTTTTCTGGGAGCATCCCATGGGCAAACTGCAGGGCATATAAACTTCCAAAGGCAATAGAAATACCCACTCCACACCCCAGCCATCCAGACGATCTGCAGCCCATTCCTAGTCAGAGTACAGATCCAAGCCTGCTCATGTAACTGAGATGGGGTCAATGAACTACCAGGAAAAGTGATTGCACGTAACAGGTTCATACGACAAGAGTAATTAATGCTCCTTGATCTGGCAGAGCCTCCTGGCAACTCTCTGTGTAAGTGGTGCCCTGGCTGGGAGCAGAGCTGGGGCTGTGAACACACACACACACACACACAGCACCACTGCTGAGGACAGGCTGGGCAGGCTCCAAACAAGCTGTGTCACAGACTGTCGTGATCCAGCAGATTCCTCCCGACCTTAACTATGATTTGCCAAAGCTCCCTTGGATCATTAAAACCATTTTGACACGCAGAGCTGCCTCGTCACCTTGAGAAACACCTGCTATCTCATCACCATCTATTTACAAACAGTCACTTACTCCACACAGCAGCTCTTCACTCTTTTCCTATACCCACCAGTTACTTCAGGTCACCGGTGACTGCTGGAAGGATTTTGCTCTTGCCCTTCAGTGTTTGGAGGGAACCCTTCCCTTCTTTCTGCAAAATCTCATGCCAGCACAGACAAAGCAGCAGAGGCCTTTCTGTTCAACATTCACCTGACACTGCAACTTCTGCTTGCTATATCCAGCTGGATATAAATTCATCACAGCTAATTCACTCTCAATACCAAGGTGTTCATGGGCAGCACTGACAGCTCACACATTCACTGGTTTTAATAAGAGAAGGATTCATCTCCTACAAGAAGCAATTTCATCATGGTGTAGTTACAAGCTTTGTGTTGCTCCATTTAGAAGTTCTACATATGTTTCTCTTGAAAAAGCCACACTCCTCATTTTAAGCCTTGCCTTTGACTCTTTTTATTTTTTTGGATGATATTAGAAGGCTGCACTGCACTGCACAGTCTCAATATCCTCTCAACTAGCCAGAAGTTAAAGATGGAGCAACCACCACTACCCAGTTCTCTCAACACCAAAAGGTCTCAGACAAAGCAGCACCAAGGCAGCTCTGAGTCAATCCAGCACATCCCTTTCACAATCCTAAGGCCTTTTCAACACAAGTCTACCCCAGCTGGGTCAGGCTTTCCCTAGCAACAGAGACTTGTTCAGCCTGAGCAGTCCTTTACATCTCTGAAACGAGAATGAGGATAGACAGCCTGCCATGAGCATCTCACCAGCAACCTCAATATCAGCTCACACTCACCTTTTTTCTAATTTCCCTTTGTTTTCCCCCTTCTGACTTTGTTTCTGTGAGAACTGGTTTTTTTACTTCACAGTAGAGATGCAAAGTTA